CCATCGCGATTCACATGTTCACCAGCGACCTCCGCGGTTCCCTGTACCCCGTTGTTCCGCAGGGTCATAAGCTGCAGAGCGAGTTTTACGACAGTGTGAAATGTGGGACATTTTGAAGATTTTGATATTTCCTGCGGGACGCGGGGCGCAAGCCCTCAATGCGGGACAGTCCCGCGAGTCGCGGGACGGGTGGTACCCTAGTACCATCGCGATTCACACGTTCACCAGCGACCTCCGCGGTTCCCTGTGCCCCGTTGTTCCGCAGGGTCATAAGCTGCAGAGCGAGTTTTGCGACAGTGTGAAATGTGGGACATTTTGAAGATTTTGATATTTCCTGCGGGACGCGGGGCGCAAGCCCTCAATGCGGGACAGTCCCGCGAGTCGCGGGACGGGTGGTACCCTAGTACCATCGCGATTCACACGTTCACCAGCGACCTCCGCGGTTCCCTGTGCCCCGTTGTTCCGCAGGGTCATAAGCTGCAGAGCGAGTTTTACGACAGTGTGAAATGTGGGACATTTTGAAAATTTTGATATTTCCTGCGGGACGCGGGGCGCAAGCCCTCGATGCGGGACAGTCCCGCGAGTCGCAGGACGGGTGGTCACCCTAGTACCATCGCGATTCACACGTTCACCAGCGACGTCCGCGGTTCACTGTGCCCCGTTGTTCCGCAGGGTCATAAGCTGCAGAGCGAGTTTTACGACAGTGTGAAATGTGGGACATCTTGAAGATTTTGATATTTCCTGCGGGACGCGGGGCGCAAGCCCTCAATGCGGGACAGTCCCGCGAGTCGCGGGACGGGTGGTCACCCTAGTACCATCGCGATTCACACGTTCACCAGCGACCTCCGCGGTTCCCTGTGCCCCGTTGTTCCGCAGGGTCATAAGCTGCAGAGCGAGTTTTACGACAGTGTGAAATGTGGGACATCTTGAAGATTTTGATATTTCCTGCGGGACGCGGGGCGCAAGCCCTCAATGCGGGACAGTCCCGCGAGTCGCGGGACGGGTGGTCACCCTAGTACCATCGCGATTCACATGTTCACCAGCGACCTCCGCGGTTCCCTGTGCCCCGTTGTTCCGCAGGGTCATAAGCTGCAGAGCGAGTTTTACGACAGTGTGAAATGTGGGACATTTTGAAGATTTTGATATTTCCTGCGGGACGCGGGGCGCAAGCCCTCAATGCGGGACAGTCCCGCGAGTCGCGGGACGGGTGGTCACTCTAGTTGGAACCCCGGGCGTTCGCCGCTAATCGCCGAGATATTGCATTCTAGATTGCGCTACTCTAGAGTGACCCTACCCTACTCTGCCCCTTTATGTTTTAAAAGTAGCGCAAGGTGCGTCGATGCACGAGGCACGTGCAGCCCTTGGGAAGATCATGGCGGCACAGCGCAGCACGGAGCTAAATTTCAGCCGCAATGTTCTTCCCAGACGTGGCGTGCGGCACGTGTCTCGAGCATATAGAGCCTCCCTACTCGAGCATTTCCGCAACAATGAATGGCGCCACTTTTCCTAGGATAGAGGGGCTTTACGCTACTCTGCTCGCTAGTCACTACAACCCTTGCTAACGAAGCAGACGAACTTGCGCTCCACATTGAGAGGAAAACGGGAAACGACGGGCCAATGATGACGGCGCATGAACGGCTTGTCGCCGCACTATTTTCCTTACGCAGCGCGCTGCCCGTCTGCGCTTTCGGGTCCCCTGCAAAACCGACCTCGGCCGGCGCACATGCCAAGGCCTGCGCACATGCCAACAGGCCTTATGGGCATATCCATGTCATCTTCTACAATAGAGCGCGGGGCAGTTTAATGTAAAAAATACAATCGAGGAAGCGACGTTAAGTGCCGGATCTATCCTCGGAGAATGCGAGCTTGACCCACTTCGGCTTTTTGTGCGAAGCTGGGACCGTGCATGCTGCATTGTTCATGCAGGTCGGAGACGTGCCTGGCCCCTCCTCCTCCTCACCGGAGAACACGAACTCCAGCCGAAAGCTGACGCCGCGTTGGGTTATGTCGGCCGAGCACTGAATCCTTTTGTATTTGTTGTCCCCATCCGTGTAGTTCTAAAGTTAACCGCTTGGGGCGTCACGATCGCTCCTCCTCCATGCAGGGCATGCAGCGCCATGGGGTGGCGCTAAAGCGCGAAACACATGTACGACGAAACCGTCCAATCCGACGTCCGACCGCGCAATACGACGGTCGGAGGCGAGGGTTTTCAACGCTCTCCGATGCTACGAAAACCCTCGCCCCTCAAAGTCATTCCGGCAGTCCGCACGTCGGATCGGACGGTTTCGTCGTACATGTGCTCCATGGGACCTCCCAGTTAATGCGTTCGCATTAAAAAAGCAGAGGGAAAGCAAATTAGAACGGCGAGGGGAGTAATAATACTCTTGGTTTCTAGGCTAGGTGGCGCAAGCTACCGCCCATTATAAAGGGTACAATCATCAACGTCAATCTATTTATTTATGTAATTCAGCACAGTTCAAAGCTATGCCCATCAATAACTGTTACAAGTGTAAGACGTAAAAGCCGAGTAGTTGTCGTGGAAATGATAGTGAATTTCCTCCGGTTAGCCTGTTTTCGCACGACAGAGCTCTCAAAATAAAATGAAAATGGAATAAAGGGCTAAGATATGCAGAGCAAACCTTCAAAATTTTAAACAAATTGCTCCAACCCTAAACTCTGCCCATTAGTACTACCAAACCATGTACGGCTGAAGATTCCACTTTTCACGTGCCTTACCAAGCTGAATGGATCTTTTGCAGAAATATTGATTTGAGTAATGGATTTGGTAGCCCTTTCTCTGTCTTCTGACCGAGCAGAGAGGAAAGATTGTTTCTCTGTATAGACTTTGGGGCCGAAGATAACCCACGAGGGGACAAAGGCGAAGTTTGGGGCAGCCGTATCTAGGACACAGCACCTCAATAGGCAAATAGGATGTAGCCGACGTTTCGGGTGTCAAAAGGGTGGGAGAAGTCTTGCACACGCATTGTTTTCTAGCCACTTAAAGACCGACCAACGAAACCATTTTCCGCAAGGTAGGAAAATGCCCCTCGCGCCCTCCTCTTTTCACCCTCTCCTAAAAATCACGTGACGGCAGAGGCTTCTTTTGTGTCGGCTTTTTCTGTAGGGATAATCCTAAAAAGCCGCGAAATGAGCGGCTAGCTGCGAGCGCCACAACGGCCTTGAGACGTCCAGGTGTCTTCCCTCGTTGACGCGGGCACGCTCAATCCGCGAGATTGAGGAAGCCAGCGCGACCGAACGCTTTTTCCCATGAGCTGCAGGTCCGAGGCCACTCGGTCGGTGGGGATAGAGGAGTCTTGGTATGCTGGGGTCGTTGCAGCAGCCGCTCTCTGGCATCGCGCGGCTGCTGGAACCATTCCCGTGTCTGCACAAGGATTGGCTTGCGCACTAAAGGGTTCGGGTCGTCGATAATACATTTATTTCCTAAACTTATAAATCAAGTGGCTTTCCCTAATCTATTCATTACTGTTTGAAACACATCCCCTCTCATAGGTTGTTCACCCCATCTTGGACTCTTTTACGTATTTATTCGTCCTTACCTCTGCTTGATGACTGTTTTATAACTTGATAAAGACCTTTAAATATTGGCGCGGGCTTGCGCGATCAACGCTGTCCTGGATTTATTCAATATTGGAAAGATTGGCGTCAGGAGGGGTTGAAGAAGCAAACCGAAATTCTTGCTTCTAATAAAGACGGCACAATCGTAAGATAGGTCTTTGCTTCACTTGCCTCCACAACGCCCCATCGCTTGCACTATCGCAACTTCTGAGTGACATAGCTGTATACCACATTTTATTTACTCATGGTTACTATAGATGGGGCCCCGCCGGCTTTCCCGTTTTCAGCGAGTCGACTTTTTAACGACCGGCAACTCTCCCGAGTGAGAATAAATATTATCACCTTCCCACAACATCCACCCCTTTCTCTCCCCTCCACTGATGCCCATTTCCTACGCTATACAATTACATATAAATATTTTTAGGTAGCAACAAAGCATTAGAATCACGAATCAAACACCGGCTTATATTGAAATTTTTTATGGTCGCCGAATGTGAGATCCTTGTCTTGCACATTTTTCTGTAGTTACTCATCCAATTTATATTACGGTAAATTCTCACACCTACCATAATTTTTTTTTGTATGCTAAGCACAAACATAAGCTCATTGGTTTCCTATCTATTGTAGATTTCAAAATCTCAACATTATCTCAATTGTTTCTCCTTAACTGTTTCACACACCCAGCAAAAACTGGCTTAAAGTATGTCTGCATGTCCTACAAGGAGTAGCAAGAGTAAAACTTCTTCAAAAGACCAATCTCACCAGCCAGCTGCAATGCATAGAGGGAACTTTAGTCTTTAGGCACGTGCGACAACCTTGTTGGAGCTCTGCGCGCGTGGAGCACGAGCCCCCTCATGCACTGCCGTCTGCCTCCTGCGAACTAAAGTTATGGCGGCTCCACACATGCGCCGAACGCTTAGCGAAATCAGTATCATGACGGTTGGGTGAAATGGAAGACATCTGAAAAGTTGGGAAAAAAATGCTCGTACATTATTGATCACAGCATATTTGCAGCGCCATAAAATGTGCAAAACAGACGTGCAAAACAGACGAGTGGAGTGGGTTGTCACCACAAGGAAGGTATCGATGGATGAAACACTATGTCCAACTTTCAAGCCACACATCAAACCTTTGCGGCAACAGTCTGCATTGAGAGCCCTCCCATATCCCGAGAGGGGGTTCGATGTAGCTCATGATCCATTTCCTCATCCCCTTCTAGCTGCCACGAGTCCGACTGCTTTTGTCAAAACTGGTCCGAAATCTTTGTGGAGCAGGCGAACAGGCATTTTCAGAGATACTTGAAATAATAGAAGCAGCCACTGCCAGCTTATCTACTTTTTATTGTTATGGGGGGGGGGGGGGGGGGGCTTCACTAGACTTTTTGTTTTTGTTTAGCATTCGAGTGAAATTTTTTTCGTATAATATGTTTTGGTTACAAAGAAAATTTATTTTGAAGTTGTGTCACTCTACTGCTGCAAACAACTGAGCCCTACCTTTCTACAGCATAATTGGAAACCAAGATTATGCACGACCAGGTGTCATCACTCCAGGCCTCAGACTTCCTTCTAAACACCAAGTGCGCAGAGAAAGGCTACAAGGCACCAGCTCGAGGCTCCGAGAAAAGCTTCCACTGCATGGGCACCTGTTCTGCTCAGGCACAATTGAAACCAGAGGAGCTTCTAGCTTTGGCTGTGTGGATACAATATCCTCATACATTTTTGGGGAAGGCAGCTTACAAAAAGCCTAGCAGTCTGTACATGCTAGGAGCTTGCACTACAACATACAACATCACATATTGCCCATTCAACTAGAACATTTGACCTTTTGGAATTCATCAAGTTAAGCGATTTTAAAGCTGAACTAATTTTCATACCAAAGCAGGCAATACTTTAGTCACCCCTGACAAAGTCATCATAAATAGAACATGTTTTTGGGTTATTCTATCTCGGCGCTATTGTTTGTGCGCAGATATCATACCGAGACTTTTTACCAAACCATCACTGGTTATGGTCACACAATTGCTTATGCCAGCCAATGGGAATGAGATGCTACCCGCAAGGGAGCCCCATTCTGCGTCAGCGACACTTGCAATGGCCACCAAATTTTAATGTACCAAATCAACTAAATTTGGCAGGAAAGAAGTCGTCCACTAAACTTAGTGTATAATGGTCATGCGGCCTCCGTTACATGACATCGCGGCCTCCGTTACATGACATCACGACCCCCAATTGCTCAATTTGGCATGTCATTGTTCATACGACAGTTCTCGTAATGCTGGAAAGTGCCTAGTCCTCCCTTGTTAGTAGGGTTTAGAGTTTTCCGTTTATTATTTTTTCGAATATTGTACGTTTATGTTGCTCGTAAAAATATCCGAGCACAAACATTCCCATAAATGCTTAATACCAATGGTTAAAAAAGCACTCGCACATATCTAAAGGTTTCTTTAGCGGAATGTGGCGGTGCAATGGAAACAAAGATTGCTTCACTAGACAATGTTTTTAAAACCATTAAAACCTCAACGTAGACGCCAAAAAAGCTTTTGCATCTTTCTGATGATCAAGGCTCCCCATTCAATCCCATCTTCATAGTCGCAGATGCCACAAAAAAGTGTTGCGACCACAAGGGATGGAGAGAGCGATATTAAGCTGCCCCAGTGAGAACTTCCACCGTCCTTCCTCCCTGCAACACCAACGGTCAAAACTACAACAGTGGCATGATCACACATTGATTGGCTCCTGTCAAAACCGGGAAATACTGTTGCCAACATAAACCTCCCCTTGTCAGCATTCTTAAAAGGAGACCGGAGGGACTTCTCCCGAGGTCCGCCGACATCGCACTCTGACAAAACTTGCATAAAATATACCCACATTTCTTAGCTTTCTTTTGTTTGAGCACCGCTTTAGCCTTAAAGTCTATCTTCTCCAGAAATTTATTTGCCTGCAAGTGTTCTTCTGGCTTTCTCAGTTTTATCCGAAAACATGGAGGAGCCCTACCTATAACATATCTCATGTTAAAAATCTGCTTCAAACTGCAAATCCAATGCTGGCAAAGCTCCCCCAAGTAAGGTGAACAATGCCATCAGGCCAGGGTGTCTGGGGGAAGAATGTCCTGCAAAGCCGCCTTTAGTTTATCTGCCGAGACTGCAGTATCCACACGCTTGCTCTTTTACCAAGTGAGCTAGAAAAGTTGCACAACTTAGAATATTTTTTTAACATTCACCTTCAAATCAGTGTGCCATAATTTCTGCTATGGTGCTACTTAATCATACACCTGAAGAAATAATGTGCAATCTAAATGTGTTGACCAAATTTTTTTTTTTTTTTTAGATTTCTTTTGGTCCTTGGAATACCTCTGGTGTCAAGAAGGGCAGGAAGATTAGACATAAACTGCCAAAATTTAAAAGCTTCCAGTGTGATTCTCGTTTCTGCCAAGGTGAATTCTGCCTAAGTATCTGTGGCTATTCGTTGTGGAATGCAAACAAAATGGTACATAATCTACTGTAGGCCGAGAACACCCGCTCTATGGAGACTGATGTTGGAGAGCTGTTTCTATGCACCAAACAAGGCGAAAAAGAATGTGCGAGTATCAGTTTGTCCCCCAGTGCCTGCTCTGAGAAGTGTTTTGGTGCCAGTATATGCTCGTGTTGCTCATAGGGATATCTGGGTCACTCGAGCTATGTTGAAAGTTGCTCAGAGTATCGCACCATTTTACTTGGCTGTCTAGAACAACCCTGGCAACCGACTGTCCATGTCGAGCGACAGTTCTTCGTGCTCGCAGCTCATGGGCAGTGCCACTTTGTGACATAGAGCAGACGCCGTTTGGACCAGGTGCGGTCCTGCAATGCGACTCTGCACTCACTCTGGAGGTGCCATTTTGCTCCGTCGTGGACTGCTTGAGCAAGCAGGCGAATGACGAGCGTCGGTGAAAGCCAACAATGGCCAACCCCGACGCAGTGTGGTCTGGGTGAAGCTGCTCGCGGGTGTAGCAGTGGCGACCATTCCAGGTGGGAAGACTGCGAGGGACTCGTTCTGTGTGGGTGGCCCCGCCGAGCGCTAGAGCGAAGGCTCCGGCCCCTCAAAGTTAAGCACCGTGCGTCGGCACTGGCGCAGATACTGCTGGCGCTTGAGGTAGATCTTGGCGGCACCCTTGAGCGCCACGAAGGCCAGTCCTCCGAGCAGGCTGCGCTGCAGGCTCGACTGGCGCGAGAAGAACAGGCGGCCCAGCAGGCTGGCCACAGTGGGCAGCAGCAGGGCGCCGCACAGGAGGCGCGTGGCCGAAACCGGGTCGTGGGGCGGCACAACGAGGAGCTTAGCAAGGGGCGCCGAGTGTCGCCACCACAGGCGCAGCAGGTAGTCCTCCCAGCGCACCATGCGTGCGAGCACGAGCACGACGGGGATGCTCGGCAGCCCGACGAGCAGGAAGAGGGGGTCAGCCTGCTCCATGACGCTGAGGCCCTGCTTGTGGCCCAGAACCTGCATCACCGTGACCGCGCCGTACGTGACGGCCGTCCAGTACACCGAGCCCATGAGCAGTCCGGCGGCCACGAAGGGGCAGGCGCGGTGCACTGTGCGGTCCAGCAGGTCCAGCACGTACACGGGGCCTCCTGCGGGCCATGCCAGAGAGCTCGGAGGCGCCCCGGCGGGAGGCACGCCGGCTTACCCAGACTCGGCAGCACCACCACGTACTCGCTGCTGCACTGGGGGCAGGCCACCTTCGCCGCGCTGTTGCCCGCCTGCTTTTCGTCGATCCAGCGCTGCAGGCAGCCCTGGTGCACCCACTTGGTGGTGCCGCGGCACTTGCACGGCTGCACCCAGGACGCGTCTTGTTCCTCGTCCTCCGAAGCGAAGCACACCCAGCAGTAGCGCCTGCACAAGGCAACGTGCCCGGGTAGAGAGCTAATCCGACGCAGCTGTTGGATTACCCACCGTTCGCAAGACACGTCTGTCGCCGCCGTGCTCATGGTGCTCGCTGCCACGGCCGCTCACATCAGCTCTTCGAGGCGGCCAAGTGGGTCACGCCAGGCTGCCAGCTAGCACTAGGGCCGCCGCAGAGCGCACCGTGGCCGCTGAGCACGGCAAAGCGACCGTCCACCAACTGTCAACCGTCGAAACAAAGACACGCTATTCGGTTTCCGATTTTGCTTGCGTACCAAACCCTCCAGCGTGAGTTACCTTCAAAAGCACAACGCGACCACGCAAATTGGTTCACTTGCTACGCTTGACGTCAGTTCATATCAACGCTGCAACTACAGGCCTACAGTGCCACCCCTGCCTAACCATGAGCACTCGGTTTAGTACAACCTAAACTGGCTAAGTATTTGGTGCGACTGCCGTCTTAAAATTAATTATAGATTTATTCTTTAGAGAAGTAACTCTAATTTTAGATTTTTTGTGATAGTTCGCTTGCAACGCATTTTATTGATTTCTGAATTTTGGTGCGGTACTGCGTTGCGCTCAGCAGTTGTAGCAGACGCGCGTTTGACACACGGATTTCGGTCTGAAAATATTTTAAAAAAGCGCTACTACAAGGTTAGTGAGTTTTAACTAAACATATATCGTATAATTATTGAGTCAACGTCTTATATATATTATATATACTGTATTTTACAAAGTTGCGTATTCCAAAGTCGTTCTAAAAAATAAGACGGAACTAAAGTAAAATTTTAATAACGGGATCCCGAGCCGCCATCTTGCCCGCAGATTGCATATTACGTATTAATATCTGTATGTCTAAAAGCACAGGCCACACAGTGGGGATTTTAAGGTACTTGAGTGGTCAATACCCACCCTCAGTTCATTAAGTGGATGTTGACGCCTTTACATTACGCTCTTCCATATGCGGCCGCGTCAGACACAGTATGTTCTAGTTAGCAGACGCTTTTTGCCTGTCGCGAAAAACTAGAAAGGAGATGGCCGAAATTAAATTGCAGAATTGATAATTCCATGGCACGAATATGTTTTTTTACACTCCAAGCATTATTTTGGGGTCGAGTTTGCGTGCAGACGCCGTTGGCAACAGATGTCGCAGTAGTAGCCGAAACGGATCGCAGGCGGCGTTTTCTGCTGCAGTGCGTCTGCGGTGTCGACGGTCGAGGAGACTGGGCCTCCACTGGCTGTTGAAGCGCATCCGAGTCTAAACAGCCTTATGGGGGATTATACTTTCAGTGTATCTTCCAATGTGAGGACCCTGTCTCCCGTCGAGTTCCAAGCCAACCTAGGCAACAGCGCCCTATTCTTCAGTCCCGATCAGATCGGCCACACGATGCAAGACGACCTACTGCTCGAGAAGAGCGCCGGCAAACAAGCGCAATCGCAGCTGTCGAGCGTGGAGACCACATCGAACGGTGAGCAAGCGCTCGAAGAGTACCCGGCGCGCAAGGGAGACGACTCCGTGGTGAATTCCTGTCCGGAGAAGAGCGAGACCCCGGACGTAGTGACATCGCCATTGCAGCTGGGCTTCTCGACAGAGCCCTCGGTGATGACGACTTCTGGACCCAGTTTCTGGTCGACGGTGGCCACCGACGACGCTTTTATTCAGGGCATCCCGACGGTGAACGGCACCCTGGCGTTCCCCAGCTTTCCAGCGAGCCCCATTTTCGGGGCCAGCGTGGGCCACCCGCAGCGCCGGGCCATCACCGGGGCGCACAACTTCGCGCCCCAGACGAGGGGCCCGCAGGGAGCCCCCCTGTTCAAGGCCTACTCCAGCTGGAGCAGTGCCCAGCAGCCGAGCTGGTCCAGCCCGCCGTGGAGCGTGCCGCAGAAGCGCCCGGGCCCCGGCCCCGTCTCGCCGGGCAAAGAGAGCCCCAAGTTCCGCCGGAGCACCTCGCTGCCCGTCGCCAAGCCGGACGACGACGGGTTTCAGGTGAGCGGCCCCCGAGGGATGCTACCCGTGCGCGGGGGTGGTGCCCACCTCGCAGGGCGCGCATGCGCCAACATGGCGGCCCTCCGCGGAGCCCGCGGAGCGCGCGGTTCCCGCGGGGGGAGCGATCGTTGGGCCCCCTCGCCCAGGTGGCGCCGGGGCCTCTGGACACGCTGCGGTTCCCGCTCGAGCAGCAGCTGCTCGACATGGTGCGCCATGGAGAACAGGACTACTGCAAGGGGAGGCCCGAGCAGGCTGCCCGGGCCCCGTCCTGCTACGCGGAATACAGGGGTCCCGCGGGCGCCCTCGAGGACGCACTCGCCAGGCAGGCCAGAGGTAGGGCCTTTTCCGGTCGCCGGCTCCGCTCGCTCACCCCACTTTGTCCCTGCGCAGCCCGGGGCTTCTCGCGGAGGAAAGGTAGGCCGTGGGCGGCGTCCGGGTGTCGGGAGCGCAGCGGGCTCTGCTTGGGCGCAGGCAAGTCGCCCTTCTTCCTCGACGGGGCCGAGCTGGTGCTGGAGGAGCAGCGGTGCTCGCCCAAGGGAGGCGACGTGGCGGCCGGGGCCGAGCGCTACTCGCGCAAGGTCTTCGTGGGCGGCCTGCCGCCGGACATCGACGAGGAGGAGATCACGGCGTCCTTTCGCCGCTTCGGCCCGCTCGTGGTCGACTGGCCGCACAAGGCCGAGAGCAAGTCGTACTTCCCGCCCAAGGGCTACGCCTTCCTGCTCTTCCAAGACGAGTGCTCGGTCCAGGCGCTCATGGACGCCTGCATTCAGGAGGAGGACAAGCTGTACCTGTGCGTGAGCAGCCCCACCATCAAGGACAAGCCCGTGCAGATCCGGCCCTGGCGGCTGGGCGACGCGGACTTCGTGCTGGACGCGTCGCTGCCGCTCGACCCGCGCAAGACGGTCTTCGTGGGCGGCGTGCCCAGGCCGCTCAAGGCCGTCGAGCTGGCCATGATCATGGACCGGCTGTACGGCGGCGTCTGCTACGCAGGCATCGACACGGACCCGGAGCTCAAGTACCCCAAGGGCGCCGGCCGCGTGGCCTTCTCGAACCAGCAGAGCTACATCGCCGCCATCAGCGCCCGCTTCGTGCAGCTGCAGCACGGCGACATCGAGAAGCGGGTAGGTGCTTGCGCGCAGGGCCGGCTAAGGGGGCGCCATCAAAAGGGGAACGCCGGGGGCCGTATAATAAAGCGGGGGGCACGGCTGGAGAACGAGGGAGGGGGAGGCACCGTGGCAGGAGTTCGCCCAGGGCACGGTGTAGGACCAGCCCTCCTTGCACGTGCACGCCAGACTCTGCAGCACGCCCTCTCGCAGGTGGAGGTGAAGCCGTACGTGCTCGACGACCAGATGTGCGACGAGTGCCAGGGGGCCCGGTGCGGCGGCAAGTTTGCGCCCTTCTTCTGCGCCAATGTGACCTGCCTGCAGTACTACTGCGAGCACTGCTGGGCCACCATCCACTCCCGGCCCGGCCGCGAGTTTCACAAGCCCCTGGTCAAGGAAGGCGCCGACCGGCCCCGGGCCGTACCCTTCCGCTGGTGCTAGGCGGCGGTTGTGATAGTTCCCCTAGGGACAATCAGAGGCTCGTAGGCCCCCCTGCCGGTCACGGATAGATGGACCCTTCTAGTCAGGCCACACGCTCACACACAGGGTTGTTGTGCCAAACTTGGTTTGCTTGGGCCCCCTCCCCCTGCCTAGCTAGCCGTGGCCGTGCAGGCCTCGTGGCGCCTCTCACGTGGGCGCCACAGGCTCGGGTGTTACTGTTAGGCGACCCGTTGATTGTTGCCCTCGGTAGGAGGTCCACCCCGGCCGGCCAAGTGGGGCAACCCCCGCGCCACCGGCGGTTTTCTCTTCCGCATTGACGTGTCTTTTGATATACTACTCCATGTGATCAAAATTTTAGACTCTTTCACTTTGAACGTTTTCTGTTACCCTTTTTTGGATGCAAAACAAGTTGACGGTCCTCGTGCAAGTGGTGCACTTGTTTTAGAAGTGCGCGAAAAGTGGAGCGCCAGGTCAAGCGTGTGGTACTTTTTGCCGTCCGCTTCTACACTTTGCGACACTTGCGCAGCTTGAGTGCAGGCAGTTTTTCAAGTTGCACTTTTTTTATGGTCAAAGAGTCTCCAAGCCATTGTTTGTGAGGTACTAGTCAGTCAGCGCCCGCAGACTCGGCGCACTTTTGCTGTGTTTTTGTACACTGTCGTTTTACACGCTCCTGTCCCGCCTGCGGGCTCTGTCCGAGGGGCCATTTGGGTTCTCTGCTCCCGGCACCAGTCATGCTTTTACAGTAGCCGCTTGTGTTGACCAGTTCAAGTACTGCTGTTTTATATACTGGCTCAGGGTTACGTGCAAATAATGCAGAATGTTGTAATACGTTAGTAAACTTGCAATCACTTTGCATTAAAGTTTTTTAGAACCCCGACTGTGCCCTCCAGGCCGCCCCGTGAGGGTCGGGAGGAGGTCTCCGCGTCTCGGGGTCCCCACCCTCTGTGCCCGGTTCACGGCATCCACTCAATCCTGCAGACGGTGTCAAGTGCCGGATGAAACGCTGGCTTCTGTCCGTCGGAACTGTGACCATGGGTGTGGCGGCAGCCAGCACAAAGGGCCCCGTGGGAGCACCTCCGACTGGGCCTTTCGTGCGAAACTGCACCTCCCTCTCCACAAGTGCTGGGAGCAAACTACGCTTTGTTTTCATGGGAATTCCACTGGGTGGGCAGTCAACTGTGCGACGTGGGACACCATTAGGCCATGGCTGTGTCTTGGCCAAAGCACGAATGATGGGAAATTTGGGGAGTCTTTTTGCCTACCGAGGAGCTTTTAGTTTGGCCTATTTGGCTTTCGGGCAAAGACAGAGAGGCTGTTTGTTTCTGCAAAAACATAGGAGCAGAAGACCTAGTTGGTGTGCCTCTCCTTCCGTGTTTTTACCAAAATGAAAGTGAGAGCTTGGCATAGCAGCCTTTCCTAACACAGATGCATTCTTTGTATCCATTGGCAGCTAAGCAAAGGTGCATTGCATTTGTAACTTGATTATTCAGAGTGTGCAATTTTTCACAAGTTCCCAACCTAATGACATTTCTGTATGAAAATACACAAACCACTAGTAGAAATGCCAGTTTATGCTGCGCATTTAATCAATGCACCAACCAGTCGGATGCCGGATTGGTTTCTAAGTGCAAACTTTTTTATTGTTCTGGGTAGCTTCTGGACTTGTATATGGATGTATCGTACCGGTGCAGTGCGGTTCGTGGTACAGGGAAGGCTAGAGGGGAGCTTCCTTCTCTCCCTGCCAGCCTTCGGTGCACTAAAGTGGAAAGACTGCACTGCACAGGTGCGGTGTGCCCCAGACGAATAGGCCATTAGTGATGACTTTAAACCTGAGATTGAAGTTCTAATAGCAACTAAAGTCGGTGACGGGTTAAGAGTTCAGTGGAAGCTCCTCCCACCTTTTTCCCCTTTGGCAGAGTGAATGCTGGAAAGGAGGTGGCCTCCTCTCCGACATTCAATCTGCTAAAGAGGTGGGAGGAGCTTCCACTGAACTCTCAACCTGTCACCGACTAAAGGTTGTTTTCAAACAAAATGAAGCAATATTTTTAGGTTTGCCATACCTAAACGTAGTGTATTTTTGTTTATAAATCTATATCACTTATGAGCAATTTGACCTAAGCAAATTTGAATGAATTTAAAGATAACTTTGATTTACCAAATTTAACAAACCTACAAAATATTTTAAATCGAGTGGAGTAACTGCTGTAAAACAAATTCAGTCAAGTTTGTGAAAATTTATTTGTAACAATTCACATTGTCGGGGTATTTTCAAGTCCATGGCACTCCAACAGAGGGGAAAAAAAAAACTTGAGAAAGCAAAACAGTCTAGCGATGTATAGTGTCGGTTTTGTCTGCCCCTTGCATTCTAGATATATAATTTGTTACACAATAATACAAACATCGGATGTTATTTTTAAAAAAAATAAATGTTTGTGCCGCTTATTTTTTGCCATTCATTGAAATTCTCTTTCCCCTTTACTCTGGTCAAAAACTAATTTGTTGCGGTTTCACAATAATGCGGCGCATGTACAATTTCAACTGTCGCACCTAAACCCCACACACAAATAGTGAAATCTTGGCACCACTCCGAGAAGTTTGCCAATTATTTTTCATTCATTGCCACTACGTCCTAGTTTTTGTACTCCTTCCCCTACCCACTATGGTGGGAAAGAAGCCTTACACCATCATATCCAATGTGACGAGGCAATTCAGATGCTTTATTTACGAGATCATGTGAAATCTTGGGAGTGTGCCAACTGGGTTTGTCGAAAAGTATCACATTCGCTTCTTTGGGAAAGATGCTCTAGATTATTTCTAGCTCTTTCAGCTTCAAATCTTCCTCCATCTCTTGCAATGACTGAAGAGGAAGGGATGAGCCTCCAACTTTTAGAAGGAAACTTACAAGGAAGAAAAGCAGTGCAGCAATTCAGCTATACTCAGAAAAAAAAAAAAAATGTGAAGGCACAAGACCAAAGCTAAAGTGTTTAGCATCAACTTCCCAACAACAAATGTCTGTCAGCTTTTTTTTTTTTTTTTTTGCAAGGAAAGTTTTATATGGAGAACAGCACAAAACTGCAATATGTTTATTTGTACTCTCAATGCTGGGCTCGTTCGATTGACCTGCTCCAGCATAGACCAGTGCAGAAAAGTGGAGGGCAGTTTACTGCAGGTATGTGGTTTATGGTGGGCTGCGCTTTCGAATACAACATTGTGCACCCAGTGCAGCTGGTGCGCAAGAGGCATAGGTAAATCGAACATAAAAACTGCCTCCTATTTCTTTGTAGCCTACTGAAAGCGTAAGAAATGCAGGGTGTGCCGAGTCCCGGCATCTTACTGTTGCTCTGCAGCCGATGAGGTTGCGGCTCTAGCCGATGAGGACACGAAAGAATGAATCCCGGAGCAGGAATGGAGAATTGATAGTTGCTTAAGAAATGCGCAACCTTTCTGTCCTCGATGACTATCCCAGCGATGATGCACTAAATATTTTCTGTTGCCTCATAGAGCTCGAGCCAAGACGACATTGCTCCGATGGAGCTCAATGGGCCTAGAATAGATTCATTAAAATCGCCGAGAGATGGGACTGTGTTACGGCCACTCCATTACACCATGCAATTCAAGGGGATCGTTGGCCATTTCAAATGACCGCACCAATTGGTTTTTTTGACGTACAGAGCTAAGATACTGTACAAAGGTGGCCCAAGATTGTGCATTTTTGTGCATCAAAATTCTAAAGAATGAGCTTACCTGAGTCAAGACTAACAAGTTAAGGACGTGAATTCGCTACCTACGGTGGTCGCCTGCAAATGAAAGGCGTCTGGTTGATGCAACTGCCAAGAGAAGGCGACAACTGTTGACGCGCGGAGCAGACGCGTTTTTCGAGCTGTGGTGGACTTGCGAAGCTAAGTGCCTTTTTGGTATTCTTGGTCTGGATGTCTTTTAGCATACACGGTGTAGAGTAGGGTCAAATTTTGTTTGGATTTTGGTGGGCTTTTTCTTGGTGATCAACACTGGGCTTTCGGTAGCTAAGTGCACGATGAGTCGTAAAGACGGGCTAAGGGAGACTTGGTAGAGTGTAGGGAGTGCAAATGATGGTGTTACTTGGAAGAGATAGATATTGAGAGCTTAGATGATGCAGAGGAGGGTAGCTTTGCTTGTTGCCAGTGTGAGAAGCTTGAGCTAAGCTTTATGAGGGTAGAAGGAAAGTGGCGGCTAGATTCGAGGAAATCAAGGGAGTAGTGGAGAGCGAAAAAAGCGTGTTGTGCTCGAGACGCAGGCCGAGGAGCTGAACGGTGAGCTGGGGTGGGAACGGGAGAAACAAGCCAAACTCGAGAGGCAGTTGGGAACTCGTAAAGTGGGAGACTGGGCTGGAGGAGCGCAACAGGGACTGTGAGGAGAGTGGAGCGGCTCATAGGTGTCCTTAAGGAGGGGAAAAGTGTGGAAGGACAGTTGAAAATGGCAGAGTTGACGACGTGCTTACTGAAGAGGGTGGACCTAGATTTGCAGTGGGAACAGCTGAAGAGGTATGTGGCAGAGGGTGGCAGGTCGAGAGAATCGGCAGCGGTCAGTGAGGCAGAGGGCGTTCCTCTACCTAGACTTAGTTCTGCAGCTGCCTTCGGCTGAGATAGAAAGAGCAGGTCAGCCAGGCTGAGTATGTGCAGGACGCACATGTAGGGAGAAAACTGTGCACGGCGGATATAAGGGTCTTGTGGTAGGAAGTTCTAATATGTAGCAAGGGCAGGCAGGTAGCCTGTCCTTGCTACAGGCAGGTGAAGGGGGACGAGAGGGTAGAAATAGAGGCCAGCAAGGTTCATGGTTGACGCTATGGCTGAGCATGGGTGTTGATTCAGGCAGGTGTCAAGGATGTGCTGAAGGGAAGGAGCCAGAACCTCGGAAGGAAAAGAGAGTATGTCGTCACCTACTGGCGACTGCTTTTTACGACCTACTACAACAGGAGATCACACTGGCGCCACCTATGAAGTAGCCGTGGAACCGATTTCCTTATATTCTATTAGCGGCGAAATGTTTTGGTGGCGCCCTCCAATGGTTTCCTCTCGCGACGTCATTACCTTGCGAACAACAAGTTTGACAGTGTTTGTAATTAGCATGGTGGAAGCTTGAAATCTTTGCGCTCTGAAACAAACACTGCCCACACCGTCAAAATTGAAGTTCTTGCATTCCTCTTATTTCTGTCAATGAGAAAACCTTTGCTGACGTCATAGTCAGCATTGGGGCAATTGTGGAAGGCCGACCACAGCGACGCTTTTGATTGCGCACGTCGCCAGGCGGCCATAGCTGTGTGCGTGAATGCTGAGCGTGTACTGATGGCGAGCTTTCACAGTTCTTTTGCAACGTGCATTCCGCACCATCAAAAGTGCCAATCTTAGCAGCCTATTGATGTGAGCTCGTTCTGAGCATGCGCTCTAAACAGCACCCACAAATATGGCGTCCAGTGAATACTCCCTATAGTCCAACTCATGTTTACAAACCGGAGTGTCCCTAGCGGACGTCACCGGCGCCGCGCACGCGCGATGGAGTGTGGGCAAGAAGCTCACCGTCGCCCATAAACAAACCACTGAAATGTGATGTTGCCGGCGTCGGCATGACTCCCTGTGCTCTTTTCCGCGTTGAAATTGTTGATTCTACGTCTTCCTACCAATGTCTGACTACTTGAGCGGCCTCGGAAAAATTACCGAGGCTCGTTAAACCACAAAACTTCGAGTAAATAATGTGACATGCAGTGATTCATTCTGCGTGGACGCCGCAGAATGGAAGCTAAAACCTGATTCGCATGATGAGATTCCGCTTGCAATTTTCAGTCGCGACGTAGTTCGGGCTGTAAAAGCGTGAACCGTAGCCGAGATAATCGACATTGATACTGAAAATTGCAAGCAGAATCGGACCAAGTGAATCAGGAATAACAAGTCGATGAAAGCCACTGGTAACAGTGATCAACATCTACTGGTGCAAAACTTTCAATAGTACTATCGATAGTATTGGTAGTTGCCAGAAATCTAACTATCGATAGTAAAAAAACTATTGATATTACCATCAATGGTTGACTATCGAAAAACTATGAAAGTACAATCGATAGGATTGACTATTGGAAAATTATTGTTAATCGACTATCAGAAAACTATCGATAGTCGACTATTGTAAACCTATTGATAGTATTGTCGACGGTTTACTATCGATAGTTTTGCAACACTACCTTGAGCATCACTAAATAAGGAATTACTTTTGCAATTACTCGTGATAAGTTTCAATGCATTACCCCACAATTGCTCTGCCATAAAAGTGTATGTTACATACAAAAAGTAATCAGTTACTTTCGCTGTGTTACCTTGAACATGCAAAAATTGCTAATTATAATCGAGCGAGTAATCCATCCCATTTTTAAATACAATGCATATGATAAACCCCACGGCCAAAATGTATGCCGATTAAGGAAAAAATTCAGAGTTGTGTTCTCTGTTAAAAGTTTGTGTTCGAGCAGTTATGCTCCCCGCTATTACAAGATAAATTGAAAAATGAACAAGGAAAGTAACTAAAAAAAGGAGGATATATCTCTGCTTCAAGGTGAGTGGGGAGGAGGCTCATTTTGCATGGCTTGGGTTCAAACACTTTTGCGAAGGACAAAAGATGAGGGGGGAGAGGTGAAAGATGGATGAAGGGCTCTTGAAAGTGGAATGAGGGGACGAGAAAAAAAGTCAAACGTCTTCCCACAGTATTTTTTGTGTGTGTAACACCAAGACCACACGAGTTTGCTGTTGCGGTCTACAGTATTGCTTTTTCTGGATTAGAAACAAATTTTTTGTCTGTTGGTGTCCAAATTTTCTGCCCTGCTCTCCGCACAAAAAAGCTTGACAAATTACAACAGATGCGTTACTGAAATAAGTAACAAAATTATCTTGCAATTACTTTAAAAATATGCAAATATTGTCTTACACAATTACAAATAATATAATGGATAACAAGCAATTTCATTATTTGTAACAGATTACGTGCAAGTGTGCCGTAAAGTATGATTCATAGTAACGCCGCTAAACCATCAATAGAAATTACCGAAATAGAATACAACTACCGACAGTAAGAAAACTATTGATTGTTGACTGTCGTAATACTATGTGTATCGAGAAAGGATTATCGATTCGATGGTATTAATGCGAAAGCATTAACTGTCTCATGGAGCGAGCTGACGTTATCAGTTTGAAGCGCGAAAACGGCTCCTAGTTTCTGCGATTTCGCCTTCGGTTCCATTGGCTGGCGCACGTCGACGGGGCTCCCATTGGCCGCTGTGTTATGGCCTCTGAGATCCCAAAGCGCGCGCGCGCTAGTACGCAGCAGACGACAAAGGGAGCGGATGAGCGGCTTGCATGCTTTCGCATTCACAACTCATAAGAAATGCTTAGGTGTACCTCGAGCTTTTTATCGATAGTCAACAA